CTAACAATGGTCTCCAAAGCCACTTGCATGCTTTCCATTACAGCCAATTCCTGGAATTGTCAAATGATAAAGATTGTGCTTTTTAATATATTTATGTTAACTTCCACAAGCATGCAACAAATCAGAAATTCTGAAAAGTCCCAGAGATTAAAATTCCAACATCTGAAGCCACCATGAAAAAGTCCAATAGAAGTATAACCAAACCTGTGCAGGCACTGCAGCAAGCAAGATACTCTGGATAATCGTAATTATTCTCTCAGAAACCTTAGAAGCAGCTATAAAGGGCTTAACAGAAGCGACAAACCGGATCAGCTCCAACTGCATCGAGGGTTAGAGCATCAATAAAAAAACAAATGAGGAAAACTATAGTTTGAAAATTAGGGTAAATATAAAGCTCAATTGAGCTAAAATTTATAGTAATGAACAGGATTCACAAGATGGGCATGAGTAACCAATTGGCCAAAAAGAAATGTAAGTTCGCATCAAATGAGAAGAATTGTTTAACTGCTTTAGTGTAATAGGTACTGACATTGCCACCAAATTTCCTTACAAGTTTAAAATTGTACAGGATTGTTGATTGCTTTACTTTGTCCTGTCTAGCATTAGATACTTTTAAGGGCGTTTTTTCATGGGATTGGACTCCATATCCAATAGATTTACTAGTCCATCGTTTGGTTGGAAAGGTGAAAGTTGGACTAATAGTCAATTATACATCATTTTCAGCCAAATAGTCCAGAGATTATTTATCGCATGACTAATAGTTCTATGAAGCATGGTACTTCAATAAACATGTCGTATCAGTACCGGGTACTGGTGCTTTGTATGGTACCTCTTTCTTCATACGTATCAGGTACACAAAACATGTACCCAAATTTTTCCTTCTTAATTTTTGGTGTACCTAGACGTACCTAATATATACCTAAATTGTATTGTACCTCGATCAAAATAGTATTTTCTTCTAATACAAAAGTAAAATCAATTTCATTGGAATTCTTTTTTATTTTTATGCTTAACATGATTTTAAAATTAAGCTATGGTTTGTAAGTTATTTAATATAGTGACATTTAATTTTGATTTATACCTGTACTTTTGGATTAAATGTGAATTGTAGGTTGGATTTGAACAAATTAAACCATTTAACTAATTTTTGCATTACTTCAAATTAATATATATGTATTTATAAACGTACCCAGCCCTAGCCGTACCCCTGTACCCTATTTTTTTTAGATTTTACCGTATCAACGTACCTGTATCGTACCAGTACGAATACTTGTACCCGTGCTTCATAGCTAACAGTTCATTGCATTGCAATCCTCCCTTATCTAATCTGTCCAAACAAACACCCTCTAGTAGTACATTCACTACCATTCGACACTAGTAAAACAATAGAAACCATGCATGTATGAGAAGTGTCACCAAGAATGACGAATAAACTGTGCAATCAGTAGAAACAAGCTAGGCCCCATCTATTAACTGTGGAACCGTGCATGCATGACACGTGTCAGCAAGTATGATGGAATGATGCACTGTCCACAGGCTAAGCTCAACGGATTTTCCTGATGGGTCGAGCCGCCGGCAAAACCTTAGCTCAAGCCCTGCACAACAAGCTTGGCCTGAGTGGGCTTGCAAACTAGCGCGGCCAGGCGGGCCACCTTTCGCAGGCCAACGGGTCAAGATTCATGCCTATTTTTTTTCTCTTTTGTTTCCACTCTCACAGGCCAAGGGTCAAGTTGATCTTCAAACCCTAGGCTCGGGAAAAACCCAAGCCCCATTTAAGCCGGGCAATCTGATGTATGAGCTTGGGCCAAACCAAAAGCCAAATGATGACCCTTAATGATGAGCTTGGAACAAACTGAGCTATCACTTCGACATCACTCATCAAAATTTAATCACATAGAAATATATCTATAGATGTGAACCATGCAAGTGTAACAGGTGTTAAGCCATTCAGGGCAAGTCACAACTCAGAGAAACCCTAGTTGGGTCGCATCTACAGATGCAGACCCATGCATGTGTGATGTGGAGTCACTTGTTGCCCACACATACCCCGTAGATATCTTCTTTCCCAACACATATGGTAAAAGTTAAGTTGTCCTTCCAAATATAGTTATCTCCCTAATATTCACATGTTGAATGATGACCTAGACATCTTTCGATCTGTTCCTTGTGTTAATGAAACTTGTGAGGAACTGTAACCATACAATAAAGTAGAAGCTCATGATCTTATAAATGATGGATTGAGTGTATGTTATGCCTTCCCCATCTAATCATTATATGTTTCTTATTAGCATTTAGAATAACACGGCATTTTCTTTTGATAAAATTTCATATTGAAACTTTGAAACGTTCACAGAGTGAAATAAAACCACCAAACATTGTTTTTCCTTAATTTGAAAAGTACTCCCAAAAGCATAAACAAATGCCCAACGCATATTTTGGAAAAGATATATAAGCTTTCAGAATAGGATCAACTGAGCGACAAATACATTGCATTGCACCATAGCCAACAAAAGAATATTTAGCCATTGCTACGCCACCCCAATCCCTTCAAAGGTATATGAAGACCTCCTAACATAGTAACATCACGTTAAACGATAACCATGTAAATACTCGAAGAATGAAGCCTTCCCAACCTACATAAGAAAGTACTGACAAAAAAAAAGACCCAAAAACATATGATAAGTTTTCTAACAGAAAGCTGCTATCTTCAAAAATTCATCTCCCTTCTCCCTTCTCCCTTCTCCCTCTCCCTCTCCATCCATGCACACACAAATGAAGACAAAAAGACACCGATCTCCAAAATATTTCATATATATCAATTGTTGAAGCACAAAATCCTCAAACATGTCAACCATGACCAGGACCGATTACACCCAGGTAAAGAAAGCAAAAGCTCAAACCAGTTACAAACATAAGATGAATAACCATTTCTTCATCTTCTTATACATGCTACATCTTTAAAAATCTTCCAATCTTTGTACTAACCTTGTGGTTCATCATTAGCATTTATATCTAGCAGCACTGCACACAAATAAAGCAAACTGTGATGGAACACAACACAAGACACAAGACACGGGAACTTTCTTGGATACAAAGCTTCAAATGGCAGTAAAGGACTCACTCTAAACAATTCATCGTTGCCCCTCTTCCAGGCCATCATACGCGCTACCTCCTATATACCCTTTCTATGATAAAACAACTCTAAAAATATAACACACTCAATCTCCCAGACATTTTCAATAATGTAGGATTCCACTACTGCCCCTCATAGACTACAAACAAAAACCCAAATATGTCTTTCTTCAGAACAGTGTATAACAATTCTGTGAATTCACGCTTATGCAGCCCATGCCCGCACCAAAATATTCCACTATAGATCTCATTTTTCCACAACCTCAAACTTAATAGCTTCCAAAAACCAACACCACAGCTTTCCTTCACATCTTTTGACTTCCAATCTTCTTTTCCATGAGCATGGTTTCAAGTTACAACATTCGTCCACAAGCTTTCAATTTGCAAACCAAATCTCCACAGCTACTTTCCAATGGCCCTAGGCCCACCACTAGAACTCCAGTGCCATAGATAACAGTCATAACACTCAAAATCATTCGCAAATCCTGCCCAAATGAAGCCACCTTAGAACTTGTCCAACCTACAGAAACTGGAATACAAACTACAGGGAGAAAAGCATAAGAGGTCGACTGGACAGCTTGGCAGCATGCTCTAGATCAAGGCGAGTCCCTGAAGAAAAATATAGTATTCCTTATTTACTAGAGTTTGCTACAACTTTTGTTAATTTGATTTTGTTACTAGGTTGAGGTCCGGCGGACGGCTAAGGTGAGGGTGCCGTCCGCCGGTGAAGCGAAAAATAGTAGGTTCTAAACCTGCTCTGATACCATGTTAAAATTCATGTATATGTATTATTGATTGATATCTGATTGATATGTAGTGGGTTAGGTTAGTGGGTTAGGCTTAGTGTACATTAACAGCCCCCTCAAACTCAAGGAGGTTAGACACAAACCAACTTGAGTTTGGAGAGAGTTACAAAACAGAAAAAAATAAACTGATAAATAAAATAAAACAGGATAGGAGACACGGTATGGTCGTGTCAGACCGTTGTAGGAGACACTTTATGAGGTCGTGTCAGACCGGTGTAGGAGACAGTTTATGAGGTCATGTCGGACCGTTGTAGCAGGACAGTTTACGAGGTCATGTCGGACCGATGTAGCAAACAGTTTACGGGGTCATGTCGGACCATTGTAGCAGACACTGTGTGGTCGTGTCAGACCGATGTAGAAGACAGTTTATGGGGTCATGTCGGACCGTTGTAAAAGCTGACAGCTGACCGGGATCAATGTCGGGACAGTTTAAGGGGTCATGTCGGACCGATGTAGAAGACAGTTTACGGGGTCATGTCGGACCGTTATAGAAGACAGTTTACGGGGTCATGTCGGACCGTTGTAGAAGATTGTGGTGGTGCACCAAGGGGGCGACTTAGGGAGTGCGCCATGAGGTGGCTTGAACATGATACTGTGTATAACCCCCCCTCAAACTCAAATAGGTGTGAAGGTAGAAACCTATTTGAGGTTGAAACAAAGGGATTGATAAAGCTAACTGGTGTAGAAGACACTGTATGAGTGTGTATATAGGCTGCCTAAAAAATATACATGGATGTAGATATCGAGCCCTTAAAAGTTGTGCCCTCAAAAGGCGTGCCCACTTTATCAAAAGATGTGCCATGAAAAGGCGTGCCAGGTTGTCGGCGGCAAGAGGCGCGCGATGCGCGTGGCTGCCTCGGCTATTTAACCAAGACAGAGCCTGAGGCCGAGGCAGAAGCAAAAAACCTGCGAAATCCTCTGAAAAATTCTGTCGTTTCTGAGAGAGAGACTCTGTAACACTCAGTTGCCCAGAAAATGGCTTCGTCATCCCGTGGTCTGCTGACTCTCTTTCCCGACCTCAAAGAGTCAACAAGAGAGATAACGGGTGCGATGGCCATATATATATATATAATAATAATAATAATAATAATAATAAGAATAAAAAGAATAATTCACGTGGCTTGCTTGGTGTGGGGTTTTGGTGTGTTGTTACAAAAAAAGGAGATCATGTGGGTGATGATGGATACGGGTAGAGATGGAATATGAAAAGAAAGAAATATAGTAAAATAAAAGAAAGTGGAAAATAAAGAAAAGAAAAGAAAGGAGAGCATGTGGGTGATGACTAGTGTCTGTGGAGAGAGAGGGTCAGTGGGAAAGTAAAAGAATTAGGGAGATAATGAAAAGGGGTCTAGGGGATAGACCACGGAGTTGGATGGAGAAACTGTGTGTGAGTCTGTGAAACTGTGTGTGAGTATGGCAATGGGGTGTGTGTGTGGAGAACCAACCCAAGAGAGAGAAAAAGGTTTTGGAAGAAGACATTGAGGTACTGTTGCTGGGATTTGAAGAGGCTGAGGAGGTCGTTTGGGTCGAGGAGGGTTTCTGTGGAAGAGGGGAGTGAGCTCCCTCGGCTGTACGAGGTCGTCGGTCTCCGACACCGTCTTCAGCAGCGGCGGCGTGGGATTCAAGCGGCGGCGAAGGAGTCGCCGGGGTTCCAGGGCAGCCCAGGAAAACCCACTGGACGGCGGGAAGGTGAAGGAGTCTCCGGGGCTCCGGATCTGAATTTGCCGGAAATGGAGTTCATCAAATGGAGGGAGAGAGAATGCGTTGAGTGCAGTAGTGTTTTCCGAGAGGGAGAGAGAGCAGGTTGAGAGAGCTAAACCTCCCACCACAAATGATCAAGGTATGTGTTTGTGATATGTGTTGAAAAACTCCCGCGGGCAGCGAAGGCAAGGTTGCCGGCCGGCTGCCCGCCGGAACGAAAGGAGGATAGGCCTAAATCTTATAGCTCTGATACCATGTTGAAATTTAATGTATAAAGAGAATTGTATTATTGATTGATATTTTTATTGATTCATTTTTTTGTCTATTACAAATGGTTCCTTATATAGATATAGGTGTAGTGGATGGTGGTAGTGGGTTAGGTTTAGTGGAGTAGGTGAGGTGGTAGTGGGTTAGGTTTAGTGGAGTAGGTGAGGTGGTAGTGGTGGGTTCGGTGGGTGTGTATGCATTTTGTTTAAAAATGAAAAGGTAGAGAATATTAAAGAGAGAGAGAGTTGGTGAGTGGGCTATGCACGGAGAGAACCAAAAAGGAATAAAAAAAAAAAGGTGGCTTTGGGTAATGGGGTGGACTCTCGATCTCTCTGGAGTGGGAGATGGCAGAGAGCATTATTAAAACAAGGAGAGTGAGTAAGTGAGGTGAGTAAGTAAGTGGATGAATCTGTTTTTTTTTTTTTTAATGAAAGAAGAAAGATAAAATAAAATAAATAAAAGGGATAGGGGGTGTGTGTTGGGTCTGTCAATCTCGTGGGTGGGTATTGAGAGAGAGATAAAGGTTTTGGAAGAAGACATTGAGGTACTGTTGCTGGGATTTGAAGAGGCTGAGGAGGTCGTTTGGGTCGAAGAGGGTTTCTGTGGAAGAGGGGAGTGAGCTCCCTCGGCTGTACGAGGTCGTCGGTCTCCGACACCGTCTTCAGCAGCGGCGGCGAAGGAGTCGCCGGGGTTCCAGGGCAGCCCAGGAAAACCCACTGGACCGCGGGAAGGTGAAGGAGTCTCCGGGGCTCCGGATCTGAATTTGCCGGAAATGGAGTTCATCAAATGGAGGTCTGTGTATTTCCACCCTCGGATATAGTGATGCACTATCTTTCTCAGATGATGTTGCCAAGACAACAAGAACGGGCAAAACACGAAGAAGAATACGCCGTGCGGGAAACAGAAGTGCAAAATCCAAGCTGCCAAGAGAAAGGAATCGACACCTTCCAGCTTGCACTACTGTGTGACGCACCGCGACTTAGCCTCATTGTCCACCGTTTGATGCTGAAGAACTTCTAAGCTGTGTCTGCCACTGAAGGATGGAATGCCCAGGTGGCTGCACTGCAAGTGATGAAGCCGCCACCGTGGAAGTAAACAACGAGAGGTAGCTTTGAGGAGGATGATGAAGATGATGAGGAACTATGATCCAGTGCGTCTCGGGGCAGGAATAGGCGAACCCAAGTGCTGTGAAGTGGGTGTAGAGACAGGTCTTTGGAGAGATACGGAAATGGAGGTTTTGCTGGGGCGAGGTATGTGTAAAAAAACAAAACAAAAAAAAAATCGTCGCCGACTAGGTTGAGGTCCGGCGGACGGCTAAGGTGAGGGTGCCGTCCGCCGGTGAAGCGAAAAATAGTAGGTTCTAAACCTGCTCTGATACCATGTTAAAATTCATGTATATGTATTATTGATTGATATCTGATTGATACATGTTCTGTTACAATGGATTGATTATATAGATGTAGGTTAGGTGGTGGTAGGTGAGGAGTAGGTGAGTGTAGTAGGTGAGTGTGTGGTAGGTGATGGTAAGTGTGTGGTAGGTAATGGTAAATTCTAACATAGTTTACGAAGGTCGTGGTGAATAAGTACTGGAAAAAAAAAATGTTGTATCAGAGATTTCCAAACTAAGTTTTGCAGAAATCCAAAAAAGGCAATGGAATGTAATACTGGCATATTTCCTGAAAGTAGTAAAAATACTTCCCTGGCTAATAAAACTAAAAGATCTGTTACTCTAAAACTATCCTGTTAACTTATTGCACCAACATACATCAATGAAAGCTTAAAAATAAATAGATAAATTTACAAAGTGAAACTTTTTCCTCGGATTTACATTTAAATCAAGCCTTAAAATACACTCTGCTTAATCCGTGGTCCTAATTTGAGTTTATGTTCATTGAATCCATGGACTTTCTGATACTCAACTGTGATTTAGAAGTAGAGATGGAGCGCCTAAAAATATAGTAGTAAAAAAATTTCTTCGTTGCATGGACAATCTACAGCACATGTTTCAATCTTCTGTTGTTCTCATTACATTGAAAAAAGTACAAAGTAATACATAGAGCCTAGTGTCAATAAGATATCACTTAAATCTCCAATTGCCTTCTACGGTCCTCCTATCCTATTTTTTTAACGGAATACTCCTATCCTATAAATTGATATTTGGCATGCTTCATAAACATTAAAAAATAAATAAAAACCAACCCCGGAAGTGGACAAAGATGAATCCTACAAAAACTTATGAGGTGTAAGAATACTTGTGTGCATCTTGCACAAGTGTAAGCTGATCCTATCTTAGGCCATAAATCTAAAAGTAAGTTGAAGATATTCTCACCCTGAGGCACTAGAATATGTGAAAAAATCAAGCTCTTTGTCTCTGTGTGTGTGTCTACTTCATTTATCTAATCCCAATCTATCACACACTTACATTTTGCCACACTTGGGAAACTTAAGGCCCTACCGTAAACAATTGCTTCAATTACTGTGATTCGCATGGCAAAGGAAAATACAGAGAAGCTAAACACAACCATTTGTTTTGCATTTTTGCTGGGAATCTTGGGCTAAAGAATTCATCTCTCTGAACATACATACACTAAATTAATGTGAGAATGTAAAGTCCAGTTAATAGTTGTGGATAGCATTTGGTTTTTGCATTTCTGATATGTATCTTGGGCTAAAGAATTCATCTATTTGCATATATATATATATATATATTAAACTAACCTCAATATATAAAGGTTAGCAAAATATAGAGAAGCTACCATCTCTCTGAACATACATACACTAAATTAATGTGAGAATGTAAAGTCCAGTTAATAGTTGTGGATAGCATTTGGTTTTTGCATTTCTGATATGTATCTTGGGCTAAAGAATTCATCTATTTGCATATATATATATATATATATATTAAACTAACCTCAAAATATAAAGGTTAGCAAAATATAGAGAAGCTACATAAAACCATTTGAACATACATATATATTGATGTGAAAATCTAAAGGTTAATAAATAGTTGCAAGTGGCATTTGCATTAACATAGGTTCATACCTTTAACTATCCCAAAAACAAAACAAAAAAAAATAACTATCCCATAAACAAAAGAAAAAAAGAAAAGGAGCAGTAGGTTCAAATGATTTAAATATATTGCATTCAATTTCCAAGAATTATAGTTTCCAACATCCACATACCAATCCTGTATCCCCATGTCTCTTGAACAACTTTACAAGAAGCAACTCTATTCAAATATTCAAAAATGAACTCTAAAACAAACTTTGAGAAATGCAAATGGCCTGTATCTGCTACAGTAGAGGGGCAGGTAATCCGCTATGATCATCAAAAATGTTTGGGTGATACTAAGCTAGTAAAATTAATAAATATATTGTTTTGGACGTCACTAGTAGATTGTATGTAACTTGGGGCCACCACCAGCAAAATGTCTTGCACAAAGTCACGTTCATGACACCATATACTAATGATAATAAAGTTCTTTATGTTTAACTTCCTCCTTTTTGAATAATAAGTCACAACATTTATTCATACAATTCTTAATTGACAAAGTTCTGCAGCTCATAGTTTCAGGTATTTTATTAATCAGCACAAAGTGGTCACTGATTATTAATAATGCGGTTCACAGAACAGAATATTTGGTGAATCTAATAGAGAACATTTTTTATAATACAAAAAATATAAAAACCCGATGGATATTATTTAGGCTGAAGTGGCCTAAACGGTGCTCTTTTCCTGATGGATGTTGAGTTGAGCCAACACCCAGCAATTTACCTGTAGTATTTGAGAATAATATTTCTCTCTCTCTCTCTCTCTCTCTCTCTCTCTCTCTCTCTCTCTTGCTGGTAAGAACAGAGAAATGATTTCTTGAAAAGCAATGGCTGGCTGCTTACCCGATAGTGGTTGACAAATTAGTATTAAGGATTTCCCCATCTAAACAAGCCACTGTTTTCTATATGAGATTGTAAATACAATTTCATGGTTAGCCGTTTGACCTCTAATGCACGCAGTGAGAAGCTAATTACCGAGGCATAGCTACCAATAAAGCTAGAAGCATTTTTCAGGAACAAAGTTGTACAAGAACCGAAGTCCAATGCAGACAAAGCTCAGTTGTTGCAAGGATCGAAGTAGCAATTAAAGAGTTCGGCACTTGATTCATGGTCTATGTAATTTTGGCTGGTGGAAGGAGGCTACCGGAATGTTTAGAGAAATGTTGGATAGTGATATTGCTCCGGATGTTCATATGTATAGTGTGTTGCTAGATGCATGTACCAAGGAAGGGAAGATCGAAGAGGCAGAGCGGGTACTTGAAGTCATGATACAAAGAGGTGTGGATCCTAATGTAGTCACATACAGTACTCTAAAGGATGGATATTGTCTGCAACGCCACATGGATGAAGCAATCAGAGTGTTCAATGCCATGGTGGAGAGGGGCCCTCACCCTAATGTGTATAGCTATACCATTCTAATCAATGGATATTGCAAGAAAATGAAAATAGATGAGGCCATGCTTCTCTTTCGAGAATTGCCTCGGAGGGGGTTGAAACCCGACAGTGGAACTTTCAAAGCTATGTTATGGGGTTTGTTTCAAACAGGTAGATGTGGAGCTGCTCAAAAACTTTTTAATGATATGCAAGCTGCAGGCATAAATCTAGATTCTCGAACTTATGGTATCTTATTGGATGGGGTGTGCAAAAATGGGCATATTTCTGAAGCATTGTCAAACCCTTAACCCTAAATTTCCAAATTTCAAAACAATATTCACCCAACAATTTCCAAATTTCCAAAATCACACAAACAAAGCCGTCCACGAGATTGATCAGATGTTAGCAGAAAATGAGAGGCCGCAAAATCGAATTTCTAAATTGGAGGAAGACTCTGTGTTTATGAAATCCTAATCGAGGAACAACCAGGGTCCAAGAAGAAGAAGAAACAAAAAAACCACGAGATTGATCAGATGCTAGCAGAAAAGGAGAGGCTGCAAGATCGAATTTCTGAATTGGAGGAAGACTACAGTGTTTATGAAATCCTGATCGAGGAACAACTAGGGGTCCAAGAAGAACAAGAAACAAAGAGCTACGAAGATGATGATGACGACGACGATGATGATTTTGAGTTCCCTTGTGTATGTGAAGACCCCACCTCTGCCGATGAGATCTACAACGGCCAGATCAGGCTTGTTTTCCCTATTTTCTGTAGAGTTTTGTATTCTTTTTATGTTGAAAATTGTAAAGGTGAAGTGAATTCTTCTAAGCCTCCTACTCCATCGCAGATTCGGATTCCCAAGGACCACGACGGAGTGGGAGGCTTAGAAGAATTCACTTCACCTTCACAATTTTCAACATAAAAAAAAAACAAACAAACACACGATTAAAAATAAGGAAAACAAGCCTGATCTGGCCATTAGAGAAGATCTCATCAGTAGAGGTGGGGTCTTCACACACACAAGGGAACTCAAAATCATCATCATCATCGTCGTAGCTCTTCGTTTCTTATTCTTCTTGAACCCTTGGTTATTCCTTGATCAGGATTTCATAAACACAGTAGTCTTCCTCCAATTCAGAAATTCGATCTTGCAGCCTCTCCTTTTCTGCTAACATCTGAACAGCCTCGTCGACGGCTCTGCTTGCGTGATTTTGGAAATTTGGAAATTGTTGGGTGAATATTGTTTGAAAATTTGGAAATTTGTGTGATTTTTTGGTGAATATTGAAACAATGTTTCGAAAGGATGATGAGAAAGGGAGGGAGGGAGGAAGGAAGGAAACGGTTGGTTGAAGCTAACTTGGCAGCTACCAAAAGTGTGTGTCAAATTGCCAAAGATAGCAGCAGCTAAAAGTTGTCATTGGAGGTGCCTTTCTATCAACTGCTGCCATAATTTGGCAATAGCAGCTCCAATGGCACACCATTGGAGATGTTCTAAATAGCCAGAAAATTTAATTTGAATCCCAACTGGGGAAAAAAATTCTAGAAATGTCAAAATACCTTGTTTGGATAAGAACTCTGGAAGAGGAGTCAAAAAAAAAATATTGTTGATCAACGGAAGATGCTCGAAGAGAAAGAGGGACTTATGGTACAGGTGAAGGACTTGCAACGGGAGGTGGACTCTCTACGGAACCAGAATAGTGATTTGGAAGAGCAACTAAGAAGTAAAAACCACGAGACTGATCAGATGCTACCAGAAAAGGAGAGGCTGCAAGATCGAATTTCTGAATTGGAGGAAGACTACTGTGTTTATGAAATCCTGATCGAGGAACAACCAGGGGTCCAAGAAGAAA